TTCAGCGTCAGCCTCGCCATCGCCATCATCTCGATTCCGTCACCGGCGGTGAGATCCATCAAAGCGCCTCGTCGGATCCAGAACGGCCATGATCAGCTCCGCGGGGGTCGAATGCTTAGGCGCCGCTTTCCAGCGCGGGGCCTTCTCGGCTTGCGCCTGGGCTGCTGCAGGATCGTCGCGGCCAAGCTCCACATGAAGAACGTCGTCGGCGCCGAAGGATGGCGGCCTCGGGAGGGCCTCGAGCACCTGCGCCTGGCACTGGCCGCAGTCCACCGAGACAGCAGAGAAGCCCCCCATCGACCCCAGGGCGCTTGAAGTGCTGTTCGGTGTCCTCCATCCTCGGTGCGTAGGCCTCAGCTACGTTGAACTGTCGCTTGCGCGGGCCGCTGCACTTGCGAGTGAAGACGCGAGCAAGTCCCCATGCCTCAGCGCGACGTCGCCCCTTCCGGGCATCATCAAGTTCACCGACCAACTGCTCCGCGGCCGCATCCCGACGGGCGCGTCGGAGTTGTCGAAAGCGGCGGCTGCGCCAACTGAGAAGCATGCTCGGCTCCAAATCGCCAGTCCCGCCATGGCGAGCCTGCCGTCTCTCTCGGAGAAGTTGGCTGCGCATCCGCTGGTACTCCATCACCTTCGGGCCCTTCGTAACCTTTCCCTCGAAGCGTCGCTCCGCCGTCGAGTGGGCAGCGGTAACCCATCGAGCCCACGCATCAGCAGGAGCCCGCTCATGGAGAAGGAACGAATGAACATCTGGAGCCGCATCAAACTGCGCCTCCAGGTCAGCCATGAAGTCGGGCAGGCCAACTCCTGTGATCAACGCAGTCGCTAATCGGTCGAAGTCCCAGCGCGTCGGTGGAGAAGACGAGCGCTAAGGTCGAAGCAGTTGTCCAGCATCAGCAAAAGGGGGATGTGATCCTGCAGCCCTGCCCTTCCCACCAACTTCAATCTAATATTCGACCGTCTCATAAGCACACATGCGCGAATCGACTCAAGCTGCCACGAGAAAGCTGCAATGTGATCAATGCTGCTGGACGAGCGCGATGAAGGTGTCGCCGACAGGGTAGAACGACGTGGCCACGACAACCCCGTGCCGCTCCAGCAGCTCTATCATGCGGTTCGACGCGCAGTGCCGCTCACCGTGCGCAAAGGGGCCAAGCGAGGGAGACCGCGCCCAATCAACGATGCCACCGCGACGAGGACGCCAACCGAACGAAACGCTCAAGTCGAACCCTATCATGAGCGCCGAACGTCGCCTGGACCAGGTCAAAACTTTTTCCAACAACTGTGCCATCAGGTCTACTGTCGCCTGGTAGCGAGCCTGTGCGGTGCCAAACTGGACAACCGACTCTCGGCCTTCACGTCGCGCACTAGGTCGGGGAGGGAAGAGCAGCACGGGCAACAACACATCGAACTTCCCCGAGCGGAGCCTGAACGCCGCCGCTCTGCCCTGCACCGCGACAGGCGCCGCGGGCGCGTCCACTGCATCGCGCCGCTTGAAGACCCGGTTCCTCAACATCCGCGCAATCCCACACGATGTGTTAACATGCCGCCCTGCCTGAAACTCACATCTGACCACGAAATGGTACTTCAAATTCGTATGTAGTGCTGTGCGATCCGGCGTCGCCTTATCGCCAGTACTGGTGATAGCGATAATGTCTGTCCACTTGAATTCGTCCGGAATGTCATGCATGCGTTCGCACTTTTTGGCAATTCCAATGTAAGTATGTGAACATCCCCAGCACGCGCACAAGAACAAAAACAGGAGAAATTATGCGCGCGCGGGGGGGGAACCGGTGGGGGCGGCCGAAGCGGAAGTTACCTTCGGCGAGCGTGATGCCCGCCCCTGGAGCGGCAACTCTTGAGCAGAGGTGGGGCAGGAGGAGGAGGGGGAGGAGGAGGAGGAGGAGGAGGAGGAGGAGGAGGAAGGAGGAGGGAGGATGATGATGATGATGAGGACGAGGAGGAGGAGAGAGGGAGGAACAGAGGAAGTGTACCCAAGACGGTTCAAGAGAGGCCCGATATAGCCCAAGAGAAAGCCCTGGGATGGTCCGGGAAGAGACAACGAGAGCCGCGGCACGGCCCGGTGAGGCCTCTGAGAGACCCCCCAGAAGAGAATAATGGGCCAAAGACGGCCCAAGAGGATGGTAAATTGCCCGACGCTCGCGCTCCCGAGGCCACAACCCTTGGCACGTGAAAGCCAGCATGCGTCCTCAACGCAGTCACCTCTCGGGCATTTCAAAGCGATCGCGCTCCCGAAACCACACGCATTTGTACATCGCAAGGTTCCCGCGCCCTTGGAACCACATCCAATGAAACATTACAACACACTCGCGCTCCCGAGGCCACAGCCGCTTGCAACTGACATTGCGCTCGCGTTTCTGAGGCCTCGAGCCCACCTCACGGAACTTGCCACCAATTTCGCCCACCCTCCAATGCCGTCCTGGAGCAGTCTCGGAGCCACCTGGGACATCCCGAAGTTCATACCGTCAGTCCCCGGGGCTTCGGGGATGGCTCTTGGAGGGGATGGGGGCCCTTGGTATACCTCCTCCTCCTCCTCCTCCTCCTCCTCCTCTTCCGCCTCCTCCTCCTCCTCCTCCCTCCTCCTTCTCCTCCTCCTCCCTCCTCCTCCTCCTCCTCCTCCTCCTCCTCCCTGGGTGCCCCTGGGGTGCCGCGGCCCGGGGCCCGCCGGCGCCGGGCCTGCGGTAGGCAGACAAGACGTGCAGTGAGGACGTGCGGCGAGGACGCAAGACCCCTGGAGAACGAAGTTGGGATCCTCCTGGGCGGCGGGCGACCACAAAGCTAGACCTAACCGCTGATTTTCGTTTTGTATTCGTTTCTTCGTTTTGCTCGATCTGTGTTCCTGCGCCCCCCTCCCAGCACGACAAGCAAAGCGCAGCCGAATGTCGAGCAAAACTGCGTTCAGGTCCGGCCCTGGGCGACCCATGAGCACGGCAAGGGGCGGGCCGCAGCGGCAAGGGCACAAAAGGGCACCCTGGACGAAGGCGCGCGTCCTGAGAAGGCGCGTGGGCTGCCCCTCGCCCTGCGCGGTGGCCTCGCCACCGACTGACGACGCGGGCGTCGCAGCAGCCAAGGAAACCCGCGGGGGCTGGAGCGCGGCGCTCGGAGGTACACCCCAAGTTGGGCGGCACTTCCCCGGAGAAAGAGGAGGAGGAGGAGGAGGAGGAGGAGGAGGAGGAGGAGGAGGAGGAGGAGGAAGAGGAGGAGGAAGAGGAAGAGGAGGAGGATAGGTGCCAGAAACACACACACAAAAAGGAATTTCACACAAAGGGTTTTTGCACCACGAACGGTGCAACGCATGTGCACCCATGCCACTGGATCCCTGGCGATCCGACCCAGGGTTGATGTACTGCCGTGCTCTAAGGTGCAATTGAAAGGTATGGCGTGGCAGCGCTGCCGGCGGCGACAAGATCTCAAGGTCCGCTACCAACGCACATGGCATGGTGGCTTGGCACAACCAAGCCACCATGCAACGTCAACTCGCTCATCCGTTGACAGCAGCACGCGTCGCGGCAGCAGAACGCAGTAGTGTGCGAGGGCATGCAGGGCCGGCGATGTGGCTGGCCAGCTGCCAGGTCGATGTCCGCATAAATGCTGAAACCCACGTCGGATCGTTTTGGGCGTGGTATCTGGCGCAGCTGCATCGCACTGCCAGGCGCCGCGGCCTTGCGTTTGTAGCGCCAGGCCCCGTGCGCTTCTCGAGGCGGGAAAAAACTCTACACAACGGAGTCGCGCGTGCTCTTGTGGGGCTGGCGAAAACGGTCGTACGAAAAGGTTATTCCTTTGTGTGCCCCCAGCGTTGGCAACGCAACCAGACCGCACACAAAGGAATTACACGAGACTTCGTGGCACACAAAAGAATTACAGCAACGCCTTTGGGGTTGCGCTTTTCACGCGCGGTGACAGCTCCGAGCTGGAAAGGAAGGGGGGCGGGACAAGGCAAAGCAAGGGAAGAGGAGAAGGAAGAGGAGCGCGACAAAAAACGAAAGAAGCAACGGAAGGAAGCCAGGATCCGCGCAAGCGAAGCGAACACTGCGCGCCGAGTTTGGGGATTCGTTCAGTCGGTTGGCCGTGCGGCGAATGAATGGAAAAATAATCGCTTGCTGTCTATCGAAGGAACTTTTTGGGAAAAGGGGCTCGCAATCTCTTCCAAACCCCCTTTTCCCACACCCCGTTGTGAGCGCGCGACGATATGTTCTGGCACGCGGGCAGAGGACTGCCAATTGCTGGTGAGCGGCCTTTCCACCCGTCACGCGTTCAAGACAAATGCGGCCAGCTAAACGCACTTGCCACGCAAACCGCCAGCTCCAAACACCGACGCCACCCCGATCCCCGCATTCGTGCCGGGCACCCTCTCCACGACGCCCCCTTCCGGCGTAAAAGCAATAAAACCCTTGTGCTTATGTATTTCTTTCTGTTCTGAGAGGAGGAGGAGCAGGAGCAAGTCTACCACGAAGCGTCGTCTCACCACCAAATCGGGCGGCGCTTCCCCAGTTCATAGGGGAACGAACAACGACATAAACATAACAACTCGGAGGTCCGCGCGGATTTCTCGGATCGACGCTCGGGACCCCTGGCGGCGCCTCCGGCGCCGTCGTTGGCGCGCTCCGCGCACCAAGGAGGGGAGCGGTCAAGCGCGGATCCAAGATATCCGCGCGGACCTCCGAGTTTTTATGTGTATTCCCAAATCAGTGGCTGCACTGAAGGGGTCCTAGCGGAAATTGAAAAATTTGGCGAAGATTTCCCGCCGATTTTGGTAGAAGGCTGGGTTCCTGGGTTTCCGGTTCTGCACTCTCGAGTTCCTGGTTATTGGTCCGGGGCCGATTGCGGTGGGTTCTGGGTTCCCGCACACCCGGGTTCCAGGTCGATCTCCCCAGCGAAAACCATCCACTGGTTGGGTTATTTCTCTGGTGTCATGTTATTTTTCGTTCCCCCATGTACAACTCTACCGCGAAGCGCCGCCACTGCTTGAAGCGCGGCGCCTTGAGAGACGCCTTCGCGTCGGCCGCGGTGCCCTCGACCAAGGGCTCGAAGTGCTCCTGGGAGGGCTCGGCGCGCCCCTCGGCAGCTCTCTTCGCGGCCTCCTCCCTCCTCCTCCTCCTCCTCCTCCTCCTCCTCCTCCTCCTCCCTCCTCCTCCTCCTCCTCCTCCTCCTCTCCCCCTCCTTCTTTCCCCCTCCTCCTCCTCCTCCTCCTCCTCCTCCTCCTCCTCCTCCTCCTCCTCCTCCTCCTCCTCCTCCCTCCTCCTCCTCCTCCTCTCCTCTCCTCCTCCTCCTCCTCCTCCTCCTCCTCCTCCTCCTCCTCTCCTCCTCCTCCTCCTCCTCCTCCTCCTCCTCCTCCTCCTCCTCCTCCTCCTCCTCCTCACCTGGGACGACTCGAGCAAACACGCGCCTGGCTGCGCGATCAGGATGCCAGGGCCGTGGACGCCCACGTCGCAGCTTTTCGAGCCGGGCGCGGCCAGCGAAAGTGGCCAAGGATGGGCCGAGGAGGCGGAGGAGGAGGAGGAGGAGGAGGAGGAGGAGGAGGAGGAGGAGGAGGAGGAGGAGGGGCGAGGATGCAAGGGGTACCCTTAGGAAGGTGGCCCAGCCCTGCTGTGCGGGTCGACTGCAGTCTTCCGCCTCGGAGGAGCGCCTCTCGGCCCCGGGGCCGTCCACCGAACGACCCAGGGCGAGTCGGCGGAGGTCTGGATCTCCGCGTTCCCAGACCTCCTAACGTCCCCGAAAAACGTCTCGAGAAAAACCACGAGGATGATTGGATACTTCCTCCCGACCGCAAGCCCGCACGCTCGGAGTGGGCGTCCTGGCAGCAACGCTGGCACCGTGGAGAGCCAAAAAGCGGAACGGCATACTCGAGATGAGCTTCCTGCATGCCGATGACGCTGGGATCGCGATGCGCGCGCACTGACCGCGAGCAGGAACGTTCCGAGTGGGCTTCCGCTGGCACCGCGCAGTGTGACCCTTGAGCGAGATGATGTCGCGCTCGAGAAGGTCTTTGGGCGGCGGGGGGGGGCGAACGCCGCCCAGTGGGGACCGGCGATGGGATCTGAGGATCGCACTGCATTCGGGGGCGGCCACGAGGGGGGCGTCCAAGAGGGGGGAGGCGCAAATCATGGCCGGCGGCATGTGCGCGGCCCAGGGGGGGTCAGGGACGTAATGAAATAAGAAGAGGCGCCATGAGATCTGGGGAGATATCACGGCCCCCGCCATGATATCCATCCCCCCCTAGTCATCACCCACCTCTTTGCCGCCCCGGAAAGATCGCACTGCATCGCCGATGCATCCGCGATGCATCGGCGACGCCGCGATGGAGAAAGTCGGGCTCCAGGCCGCAACGCATCGCCGATGCAGCGGCGATGCGGCGCGGCCGCCTGACACCCCACACACTCTGGCCTGGCCCCACCTGGGCAGCCTCGAGCGCATACAGTAGGAGCTCGACCACAAGAAACCTTGCACAAGAAGCCCATCCCCGGACAGGGCTGGACCTAAACGTTGTTCTTTGTTTTGTTCTCGTTCTGTTGTTCGTTCTGCTCGACCTGTTTTCCTGCACCTCCCTGCCAAAACAAACAACAAAGCACGGCCGAAATCCAGCAAAACAGCGTTTGGGTCCAGCCCTGGCCTACAGTAGGAGCTCGACCACAAGAGACCTTCCGAGTACCGGAGCGCGCTCGGTGAGGTGACGGAGGAGGAGGGAGGAGGGAGGAGGGAGGAGGAAAGAGGAGGAGGGAGGAGGAAGAAGGCGGGAGGAGGAGGGAGGAGGAGGGAGGAGGAGGGAGGAGGCGGGAGAGGGAGGAGGCCGGAGGAGGAGGGGAGGAGGGAGGAAGGGAGGTGCAGGAAGGGAGGGAGGAGGGTTGCAGGAGGAGGAGGGAGGGAAGGGAGGAGGAGGAGGAAGAGGAGGGAGGAGGAAGGGAGGGGAGGGAAGGAAGGGAGGACGGGACAGGGAGGAGGGGGAGAGCGGTGGCGGGAGGAGGGAGGGATGGAGAGGGAGGGAGGAAGGGAGGGAGGAGGGCGGGGAGGAGGGGGCATGAGGGAGCAGGGAGGGGCGCGTCCTTCTGCACCGCCTCGAGCGCGGCCTTGCTCGCCTCGCTGCCGGCGAGGCTGGCCTCGCCGTCGGCCTGGGCCTTCGTCGCCGCGGCGGCGGCGCCCCGGGCGGCCTTCTGGGCGGCGGCGTCCTCCGAGGCCTCTGCGGATCGCTGCG